ATCTTGGGTTTCACTTTATGGACTTTCCCTTTTACACTTATTTATCTCAGCATCTATTCTACTAATTTAAAATAATTGCAGCATTTTTCAAATGAAGTCAGTATGAATTGGAGCACATTTTAGACCAGTCTCCTCTGCTGTGGCATCAGCAGGAGCAACAAGGTCAGGCGTGTAGTCAAAACAAAAACAAAAGTCACCACTTGCATGTGAATTGGGTAGTTTAACTTAATAATATAATACTTTTACAGCCTAATTCCCTCTTTCTTTTTTAGACGAAGTCTACAATCATTAATCACTTTTAACAGATTCTAATTTAAATGTTTGAAAAACGGCTTTTGTAACTAAAATAAAAAATACATGAAAAAATTCTCACAAACAGCTATGAAATATATCAGAGATACAATAATGGACTCACAAAATAAGCAGCAGATTTAAAAAGAAAAGCAAAGCTTTTTGTACTAATCTTTGGGTTTCAAAAACATACTAATTCAAAACTTCTATTCCCTAATGGTGTTTAAAAACGTTTAACTGTGTCTAACACAATGTTCAAATGGCAAATTTAGCAAATTTAACGGAATAAAAACTATGAAAAGCCAAATTCCTAAAGCAGTAGCTTTGCTTCAGATTCACAGCCAGAGCAGCGAAGGAGGGGGCCGTTTCCCTGACAACGGCAGCAGATAGAGCGACGCACACACACAGGCAAAAAAATACAGAAGAATAACTTTCAAGATTACTTTGTTAAGCGAATATAACTGATGTTGTTCTTTATACTTTTGTCATCCAAATCTAGAAGTGATCACTTTCCACACTAGTAACAAAAGGCACTCTTGTCTTTAACGTTTACGCTTCTATTTTATCGAGGTAGCAAACTAGTTTAAACTCAAAATCTCTTTCTAAAAAACAAAAACAACTGTTGGATACAGCCCTCTCATAGCTCAACTGTAGATAAAACTCGGCAAAAAATGTAAATAACTCACGAAAGCTCTCATAGCTCAACTTTAGATAAAACTCTGCATTCTCCGGTGAACTCTGTTCACTCCAAAAAACAAAAACTCCCTTTTTCTGTATGTAATTTAAACCGTGATCACTGAAATATTGTTGCTTATGTACTTTTGTCATTTATCAGCCTGAAATTCGTCAATTTCAAAGCTTTTGTAACAAAGGCCTCCTTAACACGTTTCCCTTTTTATAAATTGCTTTTCTGTTTACACCATGGTTTCTCTCAAAGGGACTTTAACCCTGAAGCTTCTTCTCAAAGGGACTTTAACCCCGAGGCTTTTCTCAAAGGGACTTTAACCCCGAGACTTTCTCAAAGGGACTTTAACCCCCAGGCTCAAAGGGACTTTAACCCCCGAGACTTTCTCAAAGGGACTTTAACCCCGAGGCTCAAAGGGACTTTAACCCCGAGACTTTCTCAAAGGGACTTTAACCCCGAGGCTCAAAGGGACTTTAACCCCGAGACTTCTTCAAAATACAATTTAGAGAGTTTGACAGACCCCAAAAAACAGACCAAAATTTAGCTAATATCCAATTATGCAGACTTTACATATTAAAAAAGGTGTCTGCTTACCTTATTCTTGTCAAACCGGTTCCAAGGACTGTCCGAGAGGTCTGCCAACCTCTTTTCCGCGTCGGAATATTCAATTTAAAAAACAAAACAGAGAAAGTGAGGGAGCAAGAGCAAGCCCATCCAAAAGCGAGCCCTTTCAGCGTCCGCTGGGATTTCTCCCCTTCCAGATAACGTGCTGTCGCTCCCACACGCCGAAAAAAAGAAACAGAGGAAATTCTCTCAAAACAATCCAGAGAATGGCACAAACCGAGCCGCGCATTCTCCACCAAATCTGTTAGGATTTAAGCAGACAGAGACGGATCGTGGTGTGCCAAACTCTGGAAGTTTATTTAAGGTGCTCTCAAGTTCCACTGGTTTACTCTGTTTCTTTCCCTCAGACAGAATAAAGGCAGTACACAGTTTATATAGTCATTGTCACGTCACACATCGAAAGACATACGTGTCACAAAGAGACAGTCACATCATAGTCATAACATGGAGTCCTTGTAGAGTCCTTGTACAGTCCTGCACGTAGGCCATATTGCTATCTAATACTAATAATAGTATTCATTTTTTATTATATAACTGTTGTGTGTTTGTAATGATATTTTAAATTATTTTGTTGTTGTTGTTATTGCTCTAAACATCTGTAAGCATGTGTAGTCTGCAGAGTCCAGTTATTCTAGACCCTTTCTCTACTCAATGTACAGTATATCTGGTTAGCTACAGTGTGTGTGTTGTATCAGACAGAAAATGGTGAATGCCTCATGTTTAGTTGTCATTACTTCAGATGCCTTCATCCACAATGGCAGTTATTTATGCCTCTCCAAAACCTTATTTTTTGTTGTTGACATTTCTCATTCATTTACTTTCCTGTATTGAGACTTGTAATTTCATGAAGTTTCATTTCCTGTTAGCAAGAATGTTGAACTAAGGTAAGATAAGAAATGCACTGATGGAGGGATGGATTCAAAAAAACAAATAAAGCAAAACTCATCATTGCTGAACGTGGTTATTTATTGCTGCTGTCAGAATACAAAAATAGCTTTGGAGCTGAAGTCTATAGGCACAAGGAATGATTTTACATTTTACAATTCATCAAAGACTTTCTTAAACTAAAACACAAAATTAAATATTTAAAATGACAATGGAAAGGTTTTTTATAAACACAAGAACAAATAAAATGACAATTCTTCTGTTTGAGCATAACATTTTTTTGAGGCCATACAAATTATTTACAAAAAAAGATATGGATTTACATTCAAGAAATAAGCAAGTGCACTGGCTCAAGGAAAAATAGTCATATTAGTCTCATAAATATTCAACAATTCACCTTTTCATCCATTAAAAGGATTCAAATAACAGTTTTTTTGGTCAGAATTCACTGAGATAAAGGTTTTTTCAACTTGATTTCTTTGGTAATTTCAGTTTCTGCATAGCCATGAGTGTAATTATCTTTTTTGTAATTACTAAAACACATTTTAGTTGAACAGCTTATTTAGATAAAACAACTTACGACTTAAAAGTGCACTTATAGTAACTTGTCTTGAGCTTGTTCCGGTGTATTTCAAGGATCTCTAGCAACTGCCAATTGTAAATTTAAAGATGATATGAGTAAAGTATTTCATTGTCCATGTAATGTTCACATTATTCACATTTTCAAGACGTTTGAGTATGATTCAGAACGTAAAAGAAAAGCCCACTGTGCTTCTTTTTATGCTAGTGTATTTTATTTTATTCTATTTTAGTATAGAGTTATTATTAATTTATCTTGTGGTGTGCTCCTCATTCCTGTTCTGTAGCTTGTGCAACACTGACATTTCCCCACAGTGGGATGAACAAAGGATCTCATAATCTTATTCTTTATGATAAATAATGATGATTTGAAGCGGGGACAAGCCTAAGAACTGCATGTTTCTCTCAATTCATATTTTAATGTTTTTCATGAACGGTTTATTTATCTTTCTCTGGTGAGATGCCTCTGTGCAGGAATCAGCAGGAAACAGCTTAGAACATGTGGTTTGACCTGTGATTTTATGTTTGTATTTGACCAGTGAAGAATGTCTCACTGGACATCGTTTAAAAGCCAAAACTAATGAAATAATTGTTTGACAGAGCTCTTATCAGAAAAGTGACATAAAGCACTAACTTACAGGCTTTGACTCCAATCAGACAAATGTTTAAGGAAGGTGAACAGTCAAATTGCATAAAAACAGATTTGTCTCATGTTCCCTTTGGCACATCTTATGAATTCAATACGATATAAAGGCGATTCAAATATATTCACTATGTACAAAACAAAGTCATACAAAAAAAGTTCAACCCCTGTTTTTCGAACAGTGCATAAGTAAGTCACAAAAAGGCAGTGTGCGTTTCCAAACTGCACTTTGGAAAATGAGATGAGACACGTGTGTATATTCTAAAGACTGTTGTAAGTTGTACGTTTGATATAAAGTCACTGCTCATGTAATTATTATTGTGGCCTTCTACTTCCAGGTCCAATAGATTCCTCATTTTTAATCTGTATAATTTACTTCACTTTAATATTAATTTCAGCTATTTTGAATTATGTTAAAACAATATTTTCTTGCCATCTATTACACTGCAAAAAGATATTTCTAGAGGTTTTTATGTGTAATCTAAATAACATTATTCCTTATGGCAAGCATGAACTTTGGGGGAAAAAAAATATTGACAACCTAATTCAAGCTAAGGTTTACTGTAACTATAGTCAAAAATGTCCAAACCTGTTGGTCACATAAATGTATCAAAAATCTATTGCTTACCTACATCCGGATTAATAATTACATATTTGTTGTGTGTAAAATCATTATCCGGACCAAGGCAAATTCACCTTATATATATTATTTCATCAAGACCTTGGGTATTGTAAATTACAAAGTGAAGTGAGTAATCTCTCAAATTTACATCACATGTTCTCTTCGCAACCTACGGAAGTTTTAGTCTTCTTAAAATTCTCACATAAAACAGTAATCTCATGCAACTAGAGACCTGAAATTATTAAATAAAACTGATGGCTAGAACAGTTACATTCATTTATTTTGGCATACAAAATGAATTAGTCTAGACCTGATTTAGTGGTGTTTTTTAAATTATGTATAAGGGTTTGGGTTAGGGTAAGGCCTTGGTTTCAACTTGGTTCTAGTTTTTGGTTGAGTCAAAGTTTAAGTCTGGATTGGGTCAAGTATAGTTTTTTTTTTTAAGTTCAAACCTTTTTAAAACTTGACCAGGCATGACAAATAATAGACAAAATAGGAACTTGGAATGTTTAGACTTGCAAAACCTATCGATATAAAAACATTTAACATGTACAATTATTCTTGTTTTCTTTTCACAGAAACAAGGCACTTTGTTTGGTGTTTGAGAGCGGCATGTGTTTTGGTTCCAAGCTTAATTAAAGCTGCATGAAGAGAGATGTTCTGTGTTGCGTCTACGAGTTTCCTCTCGCCTGGACTCCGGTCAGGTCTTTTCTGATGATTTCATTCACTGCAAACAAAAGACATACAAAGGTTGTTAATATTCACGTACACAAAATAGAACTGTTTAAACATGGGCTAAAATAAAATGCTTTTATTTTTGACTCTACCACATTATTATTATTCCATGCTTTGTTCACTCTGTTGCAGTATGGATCAAACACTGATCAAAACTGTGAGATTGATAAGCATTTAAAAAATCTGTTATATATTTGCTTAAAAGTAATGACATGCAACGTTCTGGACATGGCACATCACAACATTAACCAACAATAACCAATAACCAAACAACATTTATATGAACAACAAGAAAACTGGGGTAAAGTTAGGACATAGTGTGTATGTACTGCAGTGTAGCAAAACAACCTAATGCGAGGAATCAAACAATTAAAGACTTTGGAGACATTTTTGACAGTTCTATTTCTTCTGCATCTGTGCTACATATGGCCTCTAGAGGGCGCCTCGAAGCCTTTTCCAGCTGCTGTGTGGAAAATGTGAGTTAATACAAACCCGGAAGACCATGGACTAAACTATGTGATGCTGAACAATTAATTAGTCTGAGCCTCCAAAAAATACATCCATGGATCTGCACTGCGGCTTTGAGACATTTCAGATGGTATGAGATAAACGGTGTTGTCTCTGTAGGGCAGGCATGTCCAAACCAAGGCCCGCGGACCAAATGCAGCCCACTGTTTCATTTTATGTGGCCCTCTGCCTTTCTAATACAAACTATCCATTGAGGCACTTTCACAGAGTCATCCAGCCAACTTCAGTTCCACCAATATTGTCAAGCTGCACCTTGTTGTAAAGCTCTGAACCTTTGGAGTTCAGTCATTCACTCTATTTGTAAATACTCTTATTTTCAATTTGTCCCATAATGGCACCAGTGTAGATAAGGTGTTAATAAATATGAGCATATCAAGAACCATTTTAAAGACCAATTATTATTTTTAGGTAAATGTTGGTCACTTGAGTTTGGATTTAACTGACTAATATGCGCAAATGGATTCTGTTGCTCAACGTGATGCCAAAGATTTTATATCCTCTATTTTTCATGATCATTTTCAACGTTTCTCTCTATTGATTAACCCATCTCCAAAGTCAAAAATTTAAAATCATTAAATCCTCTCATACAGACTTTAAATTGGACAATGCCATTCATCCAATTTTTCCTCCTCACGCACGCAGCGTGTTTGTTTGTGTGTGTGTATGTGTGAATGTGTGTGTTTGTACGTGTATGTGTGTGTAGATGAGTGTGTATGAGAGAGAGTGCTGCTTTACACTGGTTCCACTGCGCCTCAGGGAACTCATTATGGGCCCATGAGTAATGCAAGTATTTTAGACCAGGCCAAAAAAGCTCTCTGCCTCTAACCATGCCATTATCCGCCATATTACTGCTGTCTGTTTGTGTTTCCAAGGCAACAGTACACATACTAAAAGGGGCCACTAAAATATACATTGGAATTAAACTCGCTGTTCCATGACGTAACAGATTGTAAAACTATAAGTGAAGGTTTTGCGCGTGGAGGACATGGGAAGTTAGGCTGCTGGGGGGTTGGGTTTCAAAAGAGTAGGATATCTTTGTCAGTAAAGTCCTGTATAGCTTAATATTTACAGTCTATAGTATAGCGTCATGACTCAGCTCATAAAAAAACATTGCTACTGTTTTTTTAACATAATTTTTTGTATTATATATCGGCAGACTGTATGCAATCTGTAAAGAGCAAAAAACGTAGCACATGCAATTACAGTATGCCAGATTTATTTTAATTTAACACATAGGAGTATTATTGACACCAACATGCTCAGCTATCAAATATTTGTATTGAAGATTCATTATACTATGTAAAATATATTGAGCAGGAAATGGTTTAAGCAGATTTCAATGGAAGGATTTCAGTGTGCTTATTTATTCATTCTTTTTAAATGAAAAATTGTTTACAAATGTTGCCAACTATCAAATCAGTCAACGCATCTTTCATTCTTTTTTTTAGATAGATAGATATTATTTATTTCAAAACCTGCACAAACATCATCTCAAAAATCAACATAACAGTCAAATATACAGGTGCATGGTTTGAAAAGGAGGTGGATGAAGCAAATGCTTATTGAATTCCAACCCCCTCACACATTCAACACAAAGTACAGTACAAGAACCTTATACATACAGGATCATTCGTAAACAGCTGGAAACTTATACCGTACATAGAATGAACTAATACATGACATGACTACAGAGACAGGACAAAACAAGACAACACACACACACACAACACACCACAGATACACACAACACCTCACAGACACAGGCCCAAACACTCTCTGACCCTAAACATGATTCTCATCATGTTTTCAGTGATCTGGTACCTTTCTGCAAAGACCATTTTGCTAAATTTAAATTTAAAACAATAATTTCTAAAACCTAGCACTTATGAGGCTTTACATGATTATTCACCACTTCTGAATGAAAAACTTTCTTTCACATGACGTAATCCGGAAAGGCGTCACTGCAGAGGCGAGCCTTAGGTCCTACTGTTTTAATGGTGTGTGGACCCAGCTCGTTACACTGCTGCTGCTGCTGTAATGACCCAGAAAACATTTCAGGGACCATATGGCACGGGTAAAACTGTTCCAAGTATTTACACGGACATATAGTGAAGCCGATTGGTGCAAATTCAGTCAGTACTCCAGAAAGTATTGCTTGGTTTTTTTATTTTATTATTTCTTTATCTGCACAGTCAGCAGATTGTTGAAGTCGCACCATCTTAATTTGAAAAGAAAATAACGTCCACATATAGGCTGCACTTGAATATAAGCCGCTTTTCATGTTTTACCGTAATAGATATATAAAAATGTTATAATTGGTCACAACATGATGTAATTAGGTGTTTAACAGCTTAACTGTTAGCTTCCATGCCGTACTGATTCACCAGGCTATACTAAGTCCATACATTTATCTCTGACAACTCATTAAAAAAGACCTTCTTCTATGTTGCAACTATTCATAGTCATATTTTATTGTCATACTGCATTTTCCAACCAAATGATCTATTAATGATTCAGCTCACTCATCTACTCCCCTAAAAGCAGAAACTGGAGGCAGTGTTAGTGAAGTGCCATGCCTAAGGACACAACACCATCGACAAACTGAGAACTCTCCACCCAAATACTGCGATGTTCTAAATGGGACTGTGGTCCAGAACAGACCGGGTTTCTCTCTGATCACTTACAGATGTGTGAAAACTCTGCAGAGAAGCACATTTCGCAGCTCTGCTCAGGTCATTGTGCGGAGTCCCTGTTTGCTTTAGGAATTCCCTCTGACACCCACCGGCAAAGAGCCTAGAGACTAACCCAGAGGACGTCACAATCCGCCAGTTAAATAATACCATGTAAAATGGACTGTTTTAAGCTTTTAGCTGTATCATCGCCAATTCTTTGTCAAATATTTATCAACCCTGTGCCCCTACGCATTCATATGTTCAAACATATTTCAACTGAATTGCATTGAGGGTTATAATTTCCACTGACTCCGGTAGATAGTGGTGGTGGTCAGACTGCTCGGTCTCATTTTTGGGAGATCTTTATGTTCAAGTGCAAAAGTTAGGTTAGGGTTAAACGCAGAATCTCACAAATGCTCCATCCTCTGCCGTAACTGCTACTACTCTGGAATGGGACAACATACCAACTTTGATTGATTTCAGCAGTGCTTAATTTCATGTTAACATGTTTTCCAAAACTTTCACTGTATTTTAACAATACAAGTAAAGATTAAATGAATGGCGATAATAGTGACACATAACCATTAGTGCATCTCTGATCTGCCAACATCCAAACTTTAAAGATCGTTTTTCTCGTTTAACTGACAGTGCAGATACTTTTTCTTTTGTAGAGCAGAGTTGCTTTGTAGTGAGTTGTGTGAACAGGGCTTTGTTCATGTAAATCCACTGAGCTGCTGTGCTCTATCTCACTTAGCTCCTCCAGTGCCTCAAGTCTTATTCCGCTCGCTCTGAGTTCAACAAGAACCCAGTGAGCAAAGCAGTTTGGGCCTTGCATGGTGTGTATATGGGTTAACATGGGTTCAAGATGGTTTCACCAAAATGCCCCCACCACAAAAAAAGGACCATCTCTTGTTATATTGTTCCGAGTTGGTCAAGTGGCTTATGAAGTTGAAATCTGCAACTTCCTGATGATGTGAGACAGATCTCGTCTGTGACAATGTTCAAATCCATGGGAAAATCAGAAAGATTTGATTTTTATTATTATAGTGCATCCTGTCTTGTTTTGTATATAGCTACACATTACTTGGTGGTAAAAATATATACAATGCAATACACATTTTTATTTTTACCTTAAGTTAATAAATAAATATAATCATAGTGGTACAGTTCCCAATACAAGCTATTTAAAATATGTAAAATATATGTAATCACATGTCACAATGTTACCATTTTAACATCAGAAATGTGCATAACTAATCCAGAAAATACAAATGTAATAATCATAATAATAATAAAAAGACATAAAATGTGTCTTTTAAGAACCATTATTGTAAACAGACAAACAATGCCTTTACATTTTCACCACTCCCTGCTCTGCTAAACTTTACAAGCTTAAACCGGGGACTTCCCGTTGTTCAAAAACATAGTTCAAACTAAAGTAGGTGTGAAAATATGTGAGGCAAAACTCCCTGTGCATTTGTGAAGGCGTAGGACTGATAAAAGGTTGTAAACTTAAACAATACGTAAAGTAGAATGAGTCACATGTGCCACTTTCAACTGTCTCTATTGTGGTCTTAGGTATTGACATGTGCTGCTTCTCACCACTCATTTCCCAAGTCAAACTACAAACTGATTAATTTTTCATAGGATTAAATGCAGACAAAAACATAGGTAAGGTGCCTTCCAAGTAGGGCTTGGATATTAGAGTGATATTCAATATGAGTGTTTTGTATTACAATAGTAATTGTTCAGTAACTTACACTAAATTTCAGATTGAAAAAATATATATAAA